GAAAGTGCCCAACGGCAGTTCTTCTGCCAGGAGGGACCCGTCCGGGCTTTAAATTCCAAACAATAGGCGTCGTCGCGCCAACAAGAAGAACAAATGGCTCGAAAAATTGGATATTTGGCACGTACGCGGATCGGGAATATAAATCACAATGGGTCTCTGATTCGGGGCCTCCTCTCCTCTCGACTCGCACTGACTGACGTTAGAAGTGCAACTAACTCTAGACCCGCGAGCTCTAGACCCAAGTTCATCGCATATTAGAGATCTAATTTCATCTCATGATTCTCAGTTGGAAAAACTTGATTAGCAAGTTAGGGTTTGTTGTGAAATGGATGGCTCTGAGCTCTTTTAAACGACTCTTAATGTTGGCCCAGCTTGGCTCACTTTTTATTCTCCTCCACAGATGATGGATGTGTGTTCTTGCTCATCGACAGCTATCTGGTGTAGTTTTTGTCGTGGCTGGGCCCGGTGGTGCTAATGAGTAAATTAACACGTTTTCTTGAAATTTTTTTTTTTGAGGAGGCTTTGGGAACTTGGAGATTACGTGTTACTCCGAGACCCATGGCGAGGGAGGTATGTACCTTCCGTATACTATACAATTCAAATCTTTTAATACGACTTGGCTTTGATTTCGTAATCTTATTAGTTCACTGTAGGACCCAACTTTCACCTTCTTGGCATTGATTCCCACAACACCGGCAAGGAACAAGAAATGCAGAAACAATATGTAATTTGTTCAAGGTTCCCCGGCTCGCCCCAAGCCCCGCCCCAGTTCAAAGTTCTTCGCCGTAACTTCTTGCCACATTTTGCATTTCAGCGCCGCAAAAAGCAGACCCACATACGGGTTCCCTATGCCTCCCCCCTCACTTGCCACATATAATGGCTAATTTGAATTTTTATCATGTTTACAAGCAAACAATACGTGCATCATCATCGTCGTCGGAAGGAAAGTCTCCGCCATTGTTGCTGCCGCCGCTGTTGTTGACGCGAGGAAGACCTCGCACAACATTTGCATATCGATTTCATATGCAGTGAAGAAAATTCATATGCTCCCGCGACTTTTGCTCAAAAAAGGAAAATTCACAGCCCAGCCCCTCCACCTCCATTAGCTGTGGAGCAGCAAATGCAATCGCATTTTTCGCGCTTCTCGAAAATAGAATGGAATAAACATGAAGATGTTTACTTGCCAGTTCTTTTCTCGTTAATCCCCTTCTGATGTGGGTTTATTATATTACCAGTTCAGTTTGTGGTAAGAATATACTTATTTTGATAGAATCTTAAAGCTTCTCAAAAACGTGAGAAGTATGGGCTGGTTCTACTCTAGACTTTAAAGTTTAGAGAAACAAAAAGTCGACTATATCTGATAAACACAGGTGGAAAGTTCACCTCTGCATGTTCTACTCTGCAACCGAATAAGGGAAATTGTGGATTATTTGCAAATTTAATAACACCCCCAGAGATCCTTGTGTCCTCCCTGCATAATCCTTCAAATGCGCAAGAGTCTCGCGCTCTCCTCCATCCTCGTAGTCTGTTTGAAGTCTGCTTGCATGTAAATGGCCCTGATTACCGCGTTGCAGTTTTCCGTTTTCCGCACCTTTGTCACCTGTCCTCCCTTCGGTTTTTGGCTTTTCTCACTTTTGCTTACTCATTTGATTTGCAGCACACTTTGCTGCTGTCTTCCCTCCCTTCTCTCAATGCAAATCGGTGTTATTACCGCCCGTCTTTCCCCCGGACTAGACTCGTTGTCTTTTCATTTCTGGCTTTTTTGTTTTCCTCACTTTTTCCTCGAAGCTATGACCTGAAGGAGGGGAAGGCTCCACTCATTGGAAATTTCTAGCCCAGGGTCAGGGAAAAAACTTTGCTGTCAGGGAGCGTCGTAAAATTTGAATGTAAGTTTCCTTTTTTTCTTTGCTTCAATATAAGTGGAAATGAGAAGTCATTTGTTTGGTGTTTATGGTTTGGTAGGGAAGGGGAAAGGCTGCAAGTTTATGAGTCGGAGATTGAACTTGCAGTTTCAAGGATCAAATGTACACAAATACTATTTTATATTGTTCTTTTTTAGTTCCCAGGTATCAAAATGTATTTATTCAAAAAGATGTATTTCAAATATTTTTATAATATTAAAATCGTGTTCTTTTATGCTACTCCTTCAACATTATTAAATCATTAAATCTGTTCTTCTATTGTTTTTTTTTGTAAAGAAAACCATTTCCTGGTTGGTATTCTGTACTGGATATTATGTCAACCAACCCTATGCAGTTTGAGTAATTAATATTTACAGCTTGACATGATTTAATAACTATTAACAATGACAGTCAAAAAATCATTCAGACAAATATGTACTATTGACTAACAAGTGTGTTTTTTAAACCTTAGAAAAGAACAGGATGGACCTAAAATAGTTTTCTTCACATATTCTGAAAAATATTTTGGTTTCAGTATCATTGGGGATCGCCTTGGGTTTTGAAAGAGCGTTTTTAATTCTCCATCGTTTCTCGTTTATAAGTTGCGTACTCAAACCACTTTTGGTTTTTGCTCGAGAATTTTTATCACCCAATTAACACAAGTTACAGAGCAACGTCTACCTTCTCCTGCTTCCAACAAACCACAAGCGAAGAAACATTATTCAATAACTATACTAAGGTGACTATAATGTAGTCCGTTATCCAAATGACCAATTTTAAGTGCAAACAGTGTTGACCAACAAATTTATGGTTAACCCCTACATGGTGACTGGGGGGTTAGATTTCGCTTTCTATAACAGAAAAGTTTTTTTGTTAGTTCTCAAAATTGTTCTATAATATAATTTTTAATTATTTTCAATTTAAAAGTATAGGCTGCTTTTTTCTTGGTAATTTAACAAAACTAATTTTTCTTTAATTGATTAATTTTTTTTTAACTTTTGGTAGGTGATATTAAATGTTTTTATGATATTTTATGTCAACAATACTACGTAATAATAGTGATGCATAATAAAATATATACAGTATAAGAGTTACTTCTTTCAAAGCTCCACTAATTCCCACAAAATCCCCCTTAAGCTAAAACTCTTGAAAATTTTATTTTCAAATGTGATTCCCCGAATCAGGAATAACAATGGCGGATGAAAGAAAAGAAAACCAATCGGAGGTCTGTCCCGTTAGCCTGCCAAAAAGTATGCAACACTTTTGCCGGAAAACGGGTGGAAAAGGAAGAAAATTGTAGTAAGCAACGAAGAGCAGCGAGAGCCAAGCAGGAAACAAAACTCGGCGACTCACTCAAGCATTTTATTAAATTGCCACCTTCCGCTTGTTGTTACGCTGAGACGACTCCGACCTCTGCCCTTGCCACATATATATTATTCTTTCGATTTCTAGGCTGTGCCTCCGCCACCCGGGCCAACTTTGGCGGTAAACCAGGACAGGACAGAAAAAGAAGAAAAACATTGCAAAAATATTTCTGCCATCTTTTCCTATTATATCGTTTCCGCTGGAGAAAACTTTTTCGGTGTTTTCCTTTTTTATTGCTTCCCATAGGTTAAAGTGCCAAATCACGAAACAAGCAACATCTCGCTGCGTCTATGTCTAGCTCAGTCTATTGAATTGAATTGCAATTCTGTTGGGTGCCGCGGCGCTTCGACGTCTGCCTATAATGCGGCAAATGTTGGATTGCGGCCAACTTGAATTTGCATCGAATGGGTTTAGGCGCAATGCGGGCGGTCGTCGGCGAAACGCTTATCTAAAATTGAAAAGCCCAAAGACACGGCTTGGCACGAGCCCCCGTAGCTGGTGGCCTCCCATGAATAGAACAATTTTTAATTAAAGTTTGAAAAACTATCGAACATTACCACTACTCTTGTAATAATTCATCACCATGCCTTAAACATTACCACGCCGAAACATTAGTAACGCAAACTCACTAGTGGGAGGAAAAAGCGTCGAAATTATTAAGCATACGACGTGTTGTACAAACGTAATTACATACGGCTGCAGCCTCGCGGAGGGCAGTGGGTGGATGGCAGGCCCTGGTACTGTTCTGGCTGGCAGAAAGCCGCGCCATGTCAGCGAAACTTTTTTTCGCCCAGTTACCAGCGCTTTTTGTTACAACTTGTTAACAATAAACACCGCCAAAGGTCCCCCAATTAAAAGTGGCCTTCTCCGAGTCTTCCTGAAGAGTCACTCCCTTCCCTGACACCCCACTGGAAAGTCAACATTTTTGTGGTCACTTAAGCAGATTAATATCATGGGTGTAATTAAAAGAAGCCCCCCGCAAGTAGGGGAGCGGGTTGGAGCTTCCTGCCCAAAATTAACATAAATTAAAAAATTTGACCAACTTTTAAAACTCTCTTATTTTTGCTTGTTAAACACTTTTTTGCCGGCAAGTTTTGCTGCCTCACATAATTGATGGTTTTTAATTAACTTCCAAGTGACCGACAGCTGACAACGACGTTTAAAACAAAGGGAAGGGCGGCCTAGCAGGAGGCGGATGTTCAATGAAAATCCCAGAAATGTTGAAAAAATTCCTCTCATGCCTGTATGTATTATTTTCGCCCAGTTTTTTTGCGAGACTGGATAGCCATTCCCCAGCGCGTTTTCAACGTTGACCGACTCCAATAAAAACTGTCAAACCCTATTGCCTGCTTTTGGGCTGACCGCCCTTTTCGCACGCCATTTACAGGACTCTGTCCTGATTGGTAACTGTCCTCCGGCATCTGTTTCCGATGTTTCAAATTCCGAATAATTTACCGAATCGTTTTTGGGAGAAATCAAATGCTAGAATAGTACCCATAGATCTATTTTACTTTAGTGGAAATACCACACTCTTTAGTCAAAACTTTTGTTTTGTTCCGATTCCGATGGAACACCGCACACATATGCACACATTTCTCACGCCTCGCTGGGCACTTTGTACCGAGTTTTGTTGATTTGTTGGCGGTGGAAATATTTTGGCTTGGCATACTTTCCGACCCCCACAGTCCCACCCCCCTCGCCATTTTTTTGAGAATAAATAAAAGAAAAACTTACCATTGCGATTCTCGCTGTCGGCGGGTTTCATTTGAATTGGATGGTACATCTGCAAGAAAAGAAAATAAATTAAAAACATTTTAAATCAAAAACGTGAACTGTATAAAATAGCCTATTAAAGATAGAAACCTTGACACCCAATCCGTTTTCTAATCCCTCTATTTTCCCTCGCCGAAACTCGTTAGAATCCAATCCGTTTCCGGGACCTGTTAATCACATTTGAAATATTAGAGCGCAATATGCTGGCCGCTTCCCATCCGAAAAGGGAGGGCCACGATTAATTTACAGAGCTTAGGCCCCAAATGCAGTCGCCAAAAACTGCGGCCGGGGAATGCAGTTTAGGGGAGGGCCGAGGCAGAGGACCCTGCTCCTCCGACCTATGGGCAGAAGCCCGTGGAGCCACCATCCACTTAAGCTGCATAATGAATGGAATGCAGGCAAAGGCAAAAGGAGCCGCGCAGGACACCGAACAAAGCCTCCGCCTAAATCCTTGACAAAAGCCAAACACATTTATTCAGCGGTCGCTAAAAAGGACGCGGCCGGGGGCGAAAAGGACGCGAGTCGGAGGAGCGGGCCTTGCTGCTTTGCGAAAAAATCCTAAAATATGCGTCGGACTTTGCAGCGTGTTTTAAATGTAATTTTTCGCGCACACACACAACTTCTTCTAATTAAAACAAGCTTAAAGCCCGCTGTCCTCAGCCACGTCTCCTTTCGCTCCAAATGGGTGGCAAAACGGGCACGAGGTCATGCTCTGTAATGCAGCTATGGACGGAACAGTGGTCTTGGATTGGATCTGGATATTTGAGAATAGTTCTCAAAATAATTTAAAATCTTTAATAGAACTTTCATTTAAAAAGAGCTAACAAAATATTAAAAATAATTTTTGTAAAAATTGGTTCGAACATTCACAAGTTTTCAACCCGTACGTACCACGTTCTCCTCCCCAATGGAGACTGCTTTGCGGCTAATGGCGCGTGATTTATTGGCAAACGGGCACCGCGAAAACGACGACAGTCTACGCTAGAAGGCAATGTCCTTGTACTTCCCTCTTTTCGCAGCACCTTTGCACCCGCCCACTTCCCTCTGTTGGCCGTAAATAATACACGCAACGCGACTGGTTACAAATTGCAGGCCAAGTCAGCCAGCCGCCTTCTGCTGGCGGTGCTTTTCCCTTTCTATTTTGCCAATTTATTTATATGCAGGAAGTGGCAATTACCAGCCAAACACAGGCGGCACACACACCCCCAATGTGAAGGGAAAGGGCCAAGCACAGGAGGAACACCAGCTCCTTGCCGTACTTTGTCAACCTCTTTCTCCTGTTCTTGGCTTTTGGCTTCTGCCTCCGCCTAATTGCTAGAAATGTCTTTTAGGAAAGGGGTCCTTACTTATTGGTGAAAAATCATAAAGTGCATTCCTCTGATAAGTCATGGCATGACAGCGAGCTCGCCCTATATTTCCGAATTAGACTCCAATCTAATAAGCTTCAATCAGTCTCCTAATATCTAATACAACATACATAGCTCCACTCGGTAATCAACACAAATTCCAAAAAGCATTCCCATCCCTTCGACAACAATCACCAGTTGTGGAAGGAAATTACAAGTTGACGTCAAAGGCTGTCAGAAGCAAGAACAACTGCGGCAATCAAAATGCAGCACGCACATGTCCCGCCTGTTAACCCTCTTTTTTCGGTTAGTACGTTCCATGGCAATTTTCTAAAATAAATATAGCAGCTGCAACCACGGAGCTACATGCAAATTATGTCAGTTTTTCCGTCGAAGCCGATAACGTGATGACATAAGCATTGTCCCTAGAAAGCTTTTGCGTTTTTTTCCAGCCAACACATGGCTTTCAAATAATAATAATATTCAATGCTTATTTGATGGTGCCATAGAAAAGGGAAACACAAAAACTGGCAGCCAAAATAAAAAGCAACATTGCCAAATGTCGCTCGATTTTGCTGACGTTGCGCCCTATCTGACCTGACCCTTCCACCGTCCTCTCTCGTTGTATCTTTTTTCTTGCACTTGTGCTGACAACTTTTCCAGGACTGCTACTGCTTGCTTTTCCGCTGCTGTTCCAAAGTGCAAATTGACATTTTTGTGCCTGCGGTTGGTCTGGACGTCCCCCTTCCTGCTAGAAGAATATCAAACGATAACGACTTTGAATATCCTTTCTGATAGAAGATACTTTCCTTTTTGAGTAATTTCAAAAATAATTTAAAGAATACAATTATGGCAAGTATTTCTATTCTAGTATTTCTATTAGATGTACCTCATTTATACTACAATAGTATTGTACTATTATTGTGTACTATTCCATCATAACCTCTCGAAAGATAGGCAACTCGATGAAAAACTTGGGGCGCGTGTCCTGTGCCAACAATTTCGTGTTTCTCTTTTTAAGCTGCCACAAGACACAGGGCTAAACTTTTAAAATTGCTTGCATTTTATAGGGAAATCTCACAGACTGAAAAAATATCCCATCATTGAGAAAAAGCGATCCACAATTTTTTCGCTGCTCTCCGAAAATATTTTCCCTCGGCAAGCATTTTATTTTACTTTCGGGCTGCTCTGGCTTTTTTGTGCGGTGTCATGGCTCCGTCAGTCCAAACGCCAGTCAATCTGTCAGTCAGCGAGTCAGTTAGCCATAATGAAGGAGGCGAGAGGCATCAGGACGATGATGCAGCCCTCCTAGCTTGTAGTCTTGTCAGCCGGATGATGGCGATTCATGATAAGTTTGTAGAGTTTTTCCTTGTTTGTGTCGGATGAGCCGAAGCTCCAATTAAAGGTTAAGATGATGGCTGCGATTTTACGGCTTATCCCCTCCATTATCCTAATATTGGACCACCCAGGGGGGGTTGGGTCTTATAGGAAATTATGTACAAATCAAAGTTACTTACCCCATTCAGCGTCTTAACGTTATGCAAAGCGTCCTGGGCTTTCAGGGCGGCGCGTCTCGTATAGAACGTCACAAAGCAGCAACCTGCAAGAGAAGGGTGGAGTTTGGGATTAGCATTTTGGTAAATTGAAGTTTATTCTACGGCGAACAGAAAAGGTGTCACGAGGAAATTATGAAAATTATTATTATTAACCCGGACCCAGAGAGGGGAGATCCTTGAAGGGCTAGAGTGCGAAAAGGAAAGGCATTGCTGGGGCCCGGGGCCTCGATGTGGCAAGAACATGACTGCCTGGCACCAAATTAAACATTATGGCCCAAACAAATGTGTCGCGTTTGAGATTAGAGTGGAGGTTTGCCAGGACGAGGGTGCTAAGTGGGGGGTTTCCGGTTCTTTGGGGCAGCAGGCAAAGGGTAGCCAAGGCGTCGGAATTTATGGGGGATGGAGTGGCAGCCAAGTGTGGCGAGCATATTAAGTGATACTTAAATCCACGCATTCCACCCTCCGACACCCTTACTGGAGGTTTACCTAACTATTTTAATTTAAAAGTTTAAAGGTAGTTATAGTATTCTATTTTTTCATGTCAATCTCATGTTTTTTGGGCAGCGGAAGTTCTTCTCTTTTTGCCAAATCTGTGGCCAAGACCGTCCACCACCCCTCTCCGGACTTTAGTTAAATCCATTTCCGGCTTCTGCACATGTCCGCATTCCATTCGCCAATCCCCATCCCCACCAAAGCCATTTAGGGCCCACCTCAACCTCCACACATCCTGTTCCATGGCAGCGACGGTTACAAAATTTAATACGGCAATAGTTGCATAACGCAATTACCCACCAGCGTATCGGCGGCGGCATTTAGTGGCGGCCCTTTCGGCTGGTCACTTTCAGTGGGGCGTAAAGTGGGCGTGAACGTGGCTATGGGCCACCCAAGCCCCAAGTCCCAATCCCCGAGTCCAGGGCTGTGGAATATCCGCCCAAACACACAGGTAATTCAATCTGTCGCACTTTTTTACGTTGTCGCCAAAGCCGCAGAGCCGCGCAGGCCGGAATTTTTCAGCATTTTTCACATATTTGAAAATATTTTCATTTCAGTCGGGGAGGTCCTTTTTGCATATTTTTTAAATATCCGGCATCGCAAAGTTAGATGGAGAGCCGCCATATCCGATTGAGTGAATTATGGAACTCTTCGGATTCAATTGTTGTTTCAATTTAAGGAGAAACAGTGCCATATTCTTAAAAAAATTTAATTTCCAAAAACCTAAATCCGATTAAGTATCATTTAAAATGAATCCAGTGCTAAGTGTAACAAATGGACGGAAATCGAAACTGGTTGGAATGCAATAAAACAAAGTCGCCGAAGTAGAAACCGGGGGACTGAAGTGATAGATAAGGAAAGCAATCGAAAAGGATAACGAAGGAGGCGGCCACGAAGGAGACTGCATCAAAACAACGCAGAAACGAGGAGAAATCTCACACAATTCCCATTATGTGCATGTCAACTGCAGTTAGAATCAAAGCCGAGGAAGAAAGCGATAAAAAAAAGCATTGTCGAGCAGAAGACTCAAGGAAAGCAGCAGGAATAAAACTGAAAACGACACCCAGTCACGTTTTTGGACAAAAAGAACTTAATCCCGGCAAGTGGGAGAAAGATGAAATCGAGAGCCGCCAGACACGACGTGCCAAAGTCCGGCAAAAGGATACAAAAGCACACACACACTTATGTATATCCGAGGATACGTACATCTGCTCTCAAAAGCCATTGGACACACGTTTGTGGACGAAACGAATTAATCGAAGTTAAATAAATCAATGTCCTTAACTTTGCCAGCCACAGATTTACCGACATTGTCCAGAGAGCAGTGTGGAAGACGGCAATAATGGGAAAATAGTGCAACAGAATGCAAGCAGAACCAACCCGGAAAACTTTAAATCGTTCGGCAGATGTTCCAGCGATAACGCTTGAATATGTATATCAACTTTTTTGATTCTTTTCTTAAAGCGCATTGAATTTTAAGAAAAAAAGTACTTGATTATAAAATAGAATGAGTTAGCTAAATACTATGGTTACCGTAGTAGGCTACATGGATACAATAAATGGCAATAACATGCCAGCACTTTTATGACCAAATATTAAGATCCATTTATAAGAAAAGATCTTTGTAGTCGGAAGAAAGAAAAGCGGACTATAGTTAAATATTTTATATCTAATGACTATATGATACTCAGAGTACCCGGTATGTGTATTTCCATACTGTACCCATTTTTCAGATAGATAAGTAGACCGTATAAACCGTAGACCGTATATATTTTTTAGAATCCGTAGATACCTTAAGTATTGCCCATCTAGTAGATGATCATGAACCTTCTTTATAGGGTCTTATAAGTATTATATCCTCTCATAAAAATAATGTAAATATCCTCTCTTTATTAAAAAAAAACAGCCATTATCGTTATTTAAGGGTTTTATATATTTTTAGACTTCAAAAAATAAGACAAAAGAGGCCTTACGTAGTATTGAAACAAAATATTATAGCTATTTTTCTTATAAAAAGAGGCGAGATATTGAAGAGATCCTAAAAGAGACGGGATTGCTGGTTAGACGTGATTAGACTAACAAGATCGACTATGCTTCTGATGCTGAACTATAATACACACCTATTGCATATAGAGCATACCCTTGAGGCCTAGATATGCCAGGTATCGTAAGTCAATCGTAACCAAGTGACCATTTTTTTTTCTTCCTTGTGCCAGATATTAAAACTGAATATCGGTTTTCCGCCGTCAAGAGGAACAGGACGAGAAAACGGGAAAATTAAGTGAAATTTTATGCATTTTTCACGCTCACTGCAGCAGCTAAATAAAAATGTCAAGAGCATAAAGTTTTTGGAAATGGCACGAAAAAAACAGCCGATGAAGGCGCTAGATAAGTGCCTTACTTTTCTTTTCTCGGAAAGACATTGGACAGCTGGACTTAGAGAAGGGAAAAGCTTTTCAAAATGAAGTTCTCAAGATAGAGAAAAGGGGCACCAAACGAAATCTGCTAGCTGACCAGATTCCTATCCAACCCACCCCAGCCAACAAACCCCACTTAACCTCTATTTCTAAGTCGCTCTGGGTGTGAATTATATTATTTCTTTTTCTCGGTTTCTGGGTGGATTCTTTCCGTTGCCCCTTCTGGTTTGGTCAGCGAGTTGGTTTTTTATAAGGCGGAGGTCATAAATCACAGACTCCAAGCCTGTCGAAAAAAGTGGGCGTTCGGGGTTTCATGGGCGTGGTTCTTTTAATGCGGAACTGTGACATACGGCTCTGTTTTGGAACGGAGAGTAGAAACTTCTCAATTGAATAAGTTCTGGGTGTGTTTTTCGAGAAGGCTTATGCAAACAGAATATATTCATTCCCTTTAAAAGCCATTACTTTGAGAGAAAAATTAAAATTAATTATATTTTAAGCGTTTAACCTGAAAAAATCTGTTCTCAGTTGGATTAGCTTGGCCACGGAAGCCGCAAAGACTTGACAACGCTCTAGCCAGATCCCACAAAACCGTTTACAGCTTTAAGCCACTCGCTCGCTCAATATCGAATTAAAAGCCACTCTTTTGCCCTCCTGGCGTTGTCACCTGGAACAACCTGGAAGAGGGAACCACAGAAAATCCCTGGCGCTCCGCTTCGCCTACCTTAACGCCCATTTATCCTGTATTCCGAAAGCACTCCCCGCACTATCGCCTGACCGCAAACGCTAATAAATTATGACCTGGGCGCTTAACCTTGTGCCGCTCTAGTTTCTACCCCCAGCCCTCCCGCTCTCACCTTTATCTGCCGGCCGCAGCGCAAAAATAGCAACAAAGGCATCAGCCATGAAACCGCAACACCCGCAACAACATAGAAAATCCAAGAGTCGGTGGGCAGTGGCACTGAGGAAGGTGGTGGGGCGAGTCGAGCAAAACTGGCCGCTAACGAAATTTAGTGCCCAAAAGGAAAACAATTTTGTTTGCAGCTCTCGCCTCAGACCGAAGAAAAAATAGGGAGAGACAAAGCATTAGCCCAGAAATACTTGGCCGAAATGAAAAGGAAATTTTTTTGGTTAATATTTTGTTGCTCTTTTTGCAATTTACGAGCTTCTGGTTCAGAGGTCAACCGTCGCACTTAAAAGTGTCATTTTGCATTTTGTTTGGTCGGAGCGGAAGCGAGACAGCAACTGGAAACTATCTCGAACACCCAACAGACAGAGGGCAGTGGCAACAAAAAGTGTTACACGTTTCACGAGGATATGGATGAGGTTCTTTAGCCTGAAACTGGGTTACACTTGGCCATCTAAATGGAAATGCTGTTGGCAGGAAGTGCTGGCTTTAAGGGAGAAAAGCGACCCACTAAACAGAGCCACAGAGGGAGAGAGTCAGGATTGTTTGCTGATATTTTTGTACTTTTATGAAGAATATTAATACCAATACACACTCCTTAAAGTTACAAAAGTAACTTAGCGGCCTACTTGTACCCATTGTGTGTCAAGAGAACCGCCCATTTTGCTAGGCGCCGACATAAATAATAACTTTGAAATGCAATTTGTGTCGATTTTTGTGTTTGTGACTGGCCCAAGTTTCTTAGATTCCCAACAGCGACAAAACGACCAAAAAACTTTGGATAGTTCTCACACGAGTGGAAGTGATATGACCACTTCCCTCTTGTCATAAATCATCACCATAACGCGCCACTTAAGTGCTCCAGAACTCTGCTCGCCAGCAGATCGCTTTCAACGCTGCCACGCCCCTGCTCCGGCCAGCCACGACTGACCACTGGGAGGGAAGGACGCCACGCCTGCTTTTACTAAAATAAGGATGAACCTGTCAACCGCAGCAGCCACTGGGCATGGGAATAGAAAAACTAAATAGACAGCACAACAATGACACAAAGTAAACAAAACGCACTGCACTCTGATGAAATATTTCAATATATAACACACAAAAACACAATAGGACCTCGACGAGCCTCGAACGAAATCTCTTATTCAAAAATATGAATAGATGTCCGAGTCAAATGGCAATTGGAAATGAAAAAGATTAGAAGCGGACGCCGTCATGGCAATGGAGAGCGAAAAGGTACATCAATAAAAGCAGAAACTTGACTGCAATCGAGAGGCTTCTGGAACAGAGCACGAAGTGAACAGGACAATGCATTTATTGAAATAATGAAAACGGGAGGAAATCTCGGGGATGCAGATGAGCAACTGGGTTTGATCAAAGCTTTCAATTCCAATTACATTGAGGGTGGAACTTCAGACTGACAAATCATAGACATCTCGTTTTCTGATTTCTCTAATTGTTTTCATATATTTAAAAAAAAAAAAGGGAGAATAGGGAGAGTAGATAGTTTCCAGACTGTATGATAACCAGTACTCTTCTGTTCTCTCGATTGTGTGATACCTGGTACTTCTCTATTCCACCGACACAGTTTCCACCTAACCTATCAAAACATAGATTCTCATAGATTCATCGAATTTTTGTTGCATGCTTTCGGGTGTTTTAAAATTAGAATCTTAAATATTAGCTTTCTCGATTATTTTTTGAGGGGAAAAAGTTCTAAAAGTAGATTAGATTATTTAGTAGATTTGGCCATTATGATATGATGACATTAGAACTTTTTTTAATTTCTTTTCTGACACAAACATAAAGTGCGTATTATAGGAGTCCATATGCAAAATACTATAACTCTATATACGTAGCACTTAGAGTAATACACACATACGGAATGACAGACATTACTTTACGTATTTCAGGTTCTCTACTGGTACCGGGCTCATAAATAATATGAATAAAAATTCTTAAAATAAGCATAACTTTATATAGTCTTACAGCAGAAGCAGGATAAGAAAGTATACAGTTCTCTTAGAAACACCCTATTTTGCCGAGTTTTGTTAGGTGGATATAATATATAATATAATTTCAGTTGTTTTGGAGTAGTTTGACATACAAATACTTTTATAAACTGCCGCTACATAAGAAATTTGAAACTCATAAAACAGTTATTGCAAAATTATAAACCTTTATATCTTATAGACTTTGTGCGTTTATACAGAGAGATAAGCCAAAGTATGAATGTAAATGTCTATATCGACTCGATTAGTAACGTTGATAAGGAAAATTCTACTCTAATTCTACTTCTACTCTACGCATTCTAGTTTCCAGTTATAAGTACCAGGTATAAATATTGTGTAATCGATAAAAGGGGCATAACTTAACTGCGTTTTTTTTAAGTAATAATAAATAATAAGGACCATTTCCTACTTAATTCAATTGCCACCCTTTCTCAAATATTAGCCACAATCTCCATTCGCCAGCTCAAGGCTATTGAATTTGTGCTGAAACACAAATAGCGAGCAAAAAGCAATTTGCTGATGGAATGGAAGGGCAAATGCAAGTGAATGCAATTAAAAGGGAGAGTGGGAGACAGAAGCACATATCACTCGAGTATGTGCGCCGTGGCTAGACCAATATCTCATATTAATTTTGTCTGCACATTACAGTTGGCCATGAAGGGCAAAGTCTGGTCTGAGCTTTCGGCTATTTACCGCAAAAAGTTGTTTTAATTTATTAGTCAGAAAAAGAAGATGATAAATTTTCCAGCGAGTTTTGATTGAGAAATGAATGAATAGATAACTTGATTTAATTTAGAAAATGTCTCTATTAACTAGTTAATTACTCACCCTTGCTTATGCCGGTGGCCTTGTCCCTCAGCACATTGATGGAGTGCACCGGGCCGTACTCCTCGAACATTTCGCGCAGCTGGGCCTCGTCCATCGACTTCGGCACCTGGCCGACAAACATCTTGATGTTGTCCGGATCGGGCTCCTTCTCGCCGTACGTGACGACGGCGGTCTCTGCGTCCAGGCGGAAGCAGGAGTCGTCGTCCATGGCCACGACATTACGGTTGGCGCTGCACGGATTGTTGTTGTTGACCAATCCGGCGGACATCATCCCGTTGCTGCCCACACGCACTAGCGCGTTGCAGTTGTTGCCCAAGCTCGGGTTGTTGCTGTTGCAGCTGCCACCTCCGTTGATGCTGTTGTTGCTCACGTTGTTGTTGTTGAGCAGCGATGGGTTGTTGTTGTTGCTGTGAATGGGGCTATTCGGCAGGCTGTTAGTGGCGCTGCTGCTCTTGTCGCTCATACCAAATGCACTAAAAATAAAACAGAAACAGAAGCTTTAATTTTAAATTGTTTAAGGATAATAGTATTCATCAATTAAATAATATAGTTTGTATAAAAATTTTATTTATTGATAAAGTACCCCCTTTTCTATTAAACGAGTTCTCACTGTAGCGTAACTGTAACTGCGACCCAAACTTACTCCAAATAATCGTTGGTCGTCTTATCCGAAAAATCAAAAATCATTCGGCGATTCGACATAAAGGAAGTGCGACTGTTGAACATATTGCTAATTAACAAGGTCAACAAGGTGAATAAACAACGAGAATACTGGGATTGTTTAGCGGCAGCACGATATTTAAGTTAATGTCATCAAAATACCAATACGTTTACTGTTATAATGCACACGGACACTCGAGGTCGGGTTGAATATACTTCCAATTAACACGGCTTACACTCTCAGCACTCAACGTGACTAATTAAAAAAAGTTATATATTAAATATATAATCGCAGTGCGTACTACTCCTGCCTCACACTTCCTTTCCGGTCAATCGGTGACGGACAAATGAACGAGAAATTCCAAATTCCATCAAAAGCATGAAGTTTGGCTTCAGTTGACGGTACAATTCCAGATTTAAGCGATAGTATGATATGGCTATCACGGGAGAAAAGGATAGAGCTAAATATGCAAGAGGATCAAGGGAACGGAAGATAAAAAGAGATAGCTGGTGACTTTGAATCAGGAACTTTAAATGAGAGCCACGATCAAAGAAGACTTTGGAAAATAACGGAGGTTCTGATTTAACCCACAGACATTAGTACAGACTTACTTTTAATCTTTCATTTATGGAGGTATTTTTAAAATTTAATTTTATTCGAATAGGATATTATAAAAAGGATATTTTATAAAATAAAAAATTATATATTATTTTATAAAAAGTATAGATGAGTTTTTTTCTTCGCCTATAAATAGCGACTTTTAAAACATTGTTTCTTTTAACCATTAGAAAGCATTGGTGGGAACCCTGTTACCCCCTGTTATATGATATCCATCCTTCTATACATCCTTTCCAATGACAGCAAAGGGCAATAAAATAGTTAATTTATTATTAAAGGGACGGCTGTTAGAAAAAAAAGTAGTATAAAATAAATATGCTCTTAAATATTAAAATATTTAAAGTTAAGTGTTTTTTAATAATTTTGTTTAATTTCAGACAAAATCATTAAGTCACAAATTTTATTCAGGTGTGGTAGCAACCCTTCCACGGGCTTACTCATCGCGATTGAGTGACCTAATTCCACCGGAAAGCAGAATCGTTTATTTACAGAAGCAAATGGCCATTAGCCTAATGCTATTTGAGGTTTAGTCGGTCAGAAAATCGCCAAGGCAAACAAAGGTGGTTCACTCAAGCCGTAATCGAAGTTGTTTTAAGGCGAAGGCTAAGCTGGAAAGCAAATGAAGTCACGGAATATTCCATTACACATAATTATGCTTTGACACATCACACATACATATATATACATACATACGTATGCATACGTTGTAATTCGTTTCAAATGATTGGCATAAGAAGAAACAATAGTGTTAATATTAAAGAAACAATTAAATATTCACAATTTTGAAGCAGAAAATGAAGAAACAATAATGTAATTTACCTTTAATTTAATTTAATAAAAGTTTTAATAAAAGTTATAACCCTGTATCCCTTCGCCCGCAAAAACTGCTGCTTTCAGACTGATGTCTTTTATTTCATTTTGCCTTTTAATTGTTACAAGTTTCACTTTTATTTAGCAAATTCTTGTCAACCTTCTCACTCTGTGACTTCTTTGTTGCATTTTGCAATTTGAACTTCTTTGTTCTCTACTTCCCAAACGGAAAACTTTTACCGCCCCTTATTCTCATGACTCCCTCCATGCTGTTTGGGCTTAACTTTAATTTAGTTAAAGTTGGCAAGTCTCGCAGAAAGCGGGGGCGAGGTCATGCTCCCAAAACCCGCTAACAACATTAGAGAGGCTCTCGGGTTTGGCTTTTCAAAGGACCTCGGGAACAATTACTATGCACATGTTATATTATTATAATAATTTCAAAATATATATAAAAAATATAATTTTAAGTGAGACGATACATCAAAATATAATAACATACATTGGATTGGTATCTTTTAAGCCGAACTTAGTTCAAAACTAAATAAAACATGCAATTGCGACAATTTTGCAGAAAACTTTTAACCCAAAAACAAAACTTTTTTCAACAAAATAAAACGGCAAAGAGCAGAACTTTCTTGGTATTGAAGTTCGAACTGCACTTTATCTTCATCACAGAAACGGTACAAAGAACCAGTGAAATAGAGAAATGTTTTGACTAAAAAAAACCCAAACAAGGTTACAAGAAAAATAATGCAGATTATTTGGAGTAATCCTTGTTAAGTCGCCTCATGGTTTTTAGATTTCTTTAAGAAATCCCAAAACACTCTCCATTCTCCATAAAAGTCTGTCAGCCCCTAACTCTGTCACTATTTTTAAGCAAAAGTGTCAAGGCCTCTAACATATTAAAGTTTTGAATCAACAATTTTTAGCAAACTTTCTCCACTCTTGGCATTTATCTTCATTTGTCGAAGGACAAAGGACCAGCAGAAGAATCTGAAGCTGGAGCAGCTGTCAACAATTTGCCGACCGCAAAATTGTCCAGGGAGCCAGGAGGGAGTGCTCGCATTTCGGGGAAAGGACCTTGGTTTTGGGCCTCCCTGGCGGTTCTCTCGAGAAGCTCACTAATTTGCTTGATTACTCTGGAGGATAGTCCGTGGAGAGAGGCGCAGAAATTTTAAATCTATTATAAAAGTTTTTTAGCCTCAAAACGAAGGCCCACTTGGGATTGGCCAAGGAGATGCTGACTGGCCGAAAGCGAGTCTCCCAGTCCTCGGAAAATCATCTTTGGGGCGACGACATGGGTCAACACTTTGACAAAGACAAGGACGAGCCCGAAACTTCCTAACAAAAGGTGAATGCAAAATGGAACAAAAAATATTATATGAAGCAGCTGCTTTAAAAAATCTTTAAGGACAAAAAATTACATCCAATATTCTAAAAAATATGGGTAAAAATTAGTATAAGAAATAAGAAATAAGAAATAGAAATATTATATAAGAAATTGCAGATATATTTTTAAGAAAGTGCATAGTTGTTTTTCACAATGCTTTCAGAGTTTTGAGTATTTTTGGCAAGTGTATTTGGCAGCAGATGAAAAATTCTTCAACAACTTTTTCGTGTCTTCATTTTTCCATTTTCCCTTTTTGGTTTTTTATTTGCAGGTGAGCTGGATAATTTTTTTTATGTCTAGCGTCTGTTCCACAACAAATCAAGTGCAAAGTGGATTCCTCCACTTCATGTTATTGTTGTTGCTGAAGAGAGTGAACTTTTGATTCTTGTTATTTTGTTTCTATGACCCTGCCTGCCCCCCCCTTCCATTCCCTTCAGGGCCTCTTCTGCTCTGCCTTTGTTCTCCTTGATTGGTTTTTGTTGCTAGTGCGGTGTACTGGAGACTGGAAATCAATGGGAATGAAGCTCGAGTGGATTTTGTGAAGCGCTTTAACATTGTAATTTCTGAAGTGGGACAAGGGACTTGAAGGAGTAATGGAAGCGAAAGATTAATAGCAAAAAAGAGGCATACACACTAACATACATATTGTGTCTTCCCTTACTGTATACAAAAAATATCTAAAAACCTTTTTTAAGCCTATTTAATCATTATTCTTTAGCATTGTTTCACAAATCGCATTTCTTTCACTGAGATTCCCTTCCTGAGCTAGAATATTCAAGCCCCTTCCCTGAAGACTCCCAGTCTCGCGGTTTATAAGCCGCTTAAAGTCGGGACTTTCTTTGATCTGGCCAGGAATAACCTCTTAATGCGACTCTGGTTCAGAAGACCAAAAAGCCGCCCCCTATAAATTACTCAGCTCGGCAAAAACTGGCGGGTGAAGCGATGAAAAAATATGAGAACATTTCGGCACGCTTATCAAAGATAATTTTAAGCCGCATTTAAAAACGGTTTCTTTGCTTTATTTTCGTTTCGCACAGACCCGGCCACTTTCTCCCGGACCCGGACTCCAGCTCGGTTGAGCTACGCGACTTTTCCGCTGACGGTGCGTTGTCTGGCAACGCTGGCTGAATTTTCCAGGCCAGGGCGGAAGGAAGTGGGGAGGGGCGGCACTGTAAAGGGCAGTTCAATGTTGACAGTCAGTGAACCCCGAAAAAGGCAGTGCGAGAAGGGTAAAGGAAAACTTGAAATACCCTTCCTAAATGTTATAATGTTACGATGGTAATCGTAATATCACGAGGCACAAGTTTATAAATTAAAAATTTTGGGTTTGGTTTGGATTTAAGAAATAAATTTTACATAAAAAGTCAAATTTCTTTACAGTTTTGCAACTTATATCATAATTTGTTAACCCTATTAGAACTACTAAGCTTAGCGCTGCTCTTTTTTGGCCAAGAGCCCGTGACCATCCTTTCATAAAACCCAAAAACCTGTGCGAGGACTCCGTCTCCTTTCGTCCTGCGACAATTGGATGAGCAAATGCTGACGAAAGGGGTGGGATGAGAAGGGCGGTGACGCTCGGACTTTGTGCAAATATTTGACATGGCCAAAAGCAGACAGTGGCTAACGGACGTGGGCCAGGGACGGCGGCAGCTGGAGAGCAGAGGTGGGCTGGGAAGCAGCTCATTTTTTGGCTCGACTCGGGATTTTCCGAGGGTTTTCAGACAGGCGGTTTTTGGGTTTAGGACTCGTGTGTAATTAAGCAAAAATTCCAAACCGTTTGTACTTGTTTTTGGCTCTGTCTGCCTCCTGTCTCATCTTCCCCGTGCTGTTAATAATCACTTGTAAATAGATCAAAGTTGGCATTTTATTAGAATTCCTCATCACGGCATGGAGTTTTCGTCCATTCGGCCACCCGCCTGAAAGTCAGACAGGATTATGTTGACTAATTAGGGGTTGCTGGTGATGGGAGTTCATTTGAAAGTTAAGTTGGTTTT